CATATGACTAGATAGTTTTAATTTATTCATCTGAAAACTGCCTGTTTATATTCTTTGACCATTTTTCAATTGGGGAATGACTTGTATTCTTATAAAATGTACTCAGTTCTCTATATATTTTAGAAATGAGGCCCTTATCAGAGACACTGCCTGTCAAAATTGTTTCCCAGTTTTCTGCTTCCCTTCTAATCTTGGCTGCATTGGCTTTGTTTGTGCAAAAACTTTTCAATTTAATATAATCAAAATCATCCATTTTGCATTTTATGATGTTCTCCATCTCTTGTTTGGTCATACATTCTTCTGTTCTCCATAAATCTGACAGGTAAACTATTCTTTGCTCTCCTAATTTGTTTGTAACATCATCATTTATGTCTAAATCGTGCACCTATTTTGTCTTTATCTTGGTATACAGTATAAGATGTTGGTCTATGCCTAGTTTCTGTCATACTATTTTTCAGTTTTCCCAGAAGTTTTTGTCAAATAGTGAGTTCATATACCAGAACCTGGAGTCTTTGGGTTTATCAAACAATGGATTTCTATAGTCACTGACTACTGTGTCTTGTGTACCTAACCTGTTCCACTGATCCACCATTCTATTTCTTAGCCATTACCAAGTAGTTTTGAGGACTGATGCTTTATAATACAATTTCAGATCTGAAACAGCTAAGCCACATTCCCTTGCATTTATTATCATTAATTCCCTTGATAGAAACAAGTATTTCTTAAATCCCTGTTAGGGACTGTGCTAAGTGCTTTCTAAACATTACCTTCCTAGATCTCCACAACCCTGGGAGGCATGTGCTAACATGATGTTAATTTTACAGTTGAGGGATTTGATGCAGACAGGGTCACATAGTAAGTGTCTAAGGCTACATTTGTACTCAAATGGGACCCTCCCCACATTGGAGAAGCTGCCCAAACAGGCCCTGGAATTGAAAAGCCTAGGGTCCCCTGGACTGATGGACAGTGGGAGTAGATGAAACCCCAAGGGAAAAGACTGACTCAGAGGAAGAGAAAATAGGACCAGGTGTGTAACTTACCTGGGATGACACATCTGTTTTCAGGAGTCACTATGAGGCCATTACCCTGAAGAAACCATACCTTCTATTCAGCGTCATGAATTTCCATACCATCAGGGTTTGTTTGTTTTTTTGTTTTTTGTTTTTTTGGGGTTTTTTTTGCCAAAACTGAATGAAATTAGATAAAATGCCAGTGTGGTTGATGAATGAGGAATCAAGCTGCTTTAATGATGGATTAATGAGTCTGGCATTGCCCAACTATGTTGTTCTTTTATTGAATAAGCATTTATTAAACATCTACTACATTCCAGGTGTTGGGAATGAAAAGACTTTTTTAGTCTACAAAAAACAAACCCTATTCCTTCCCTTAAAGACCTTACATTCTACTGAAGTTAAAACAAGTTGTATAGTGAAAAGTGATTACAAAATATATATGTACATATATGTAGGTATACACATATATACAATCATATATAGTAATTATGGGGGGTCACACTAGCAGTTGGAGGGATTAGGAAC